AAGAGAAACGTTTACTATGCTAGACGATGAATTGGACGAGGTGCCCCCCGAATTTTTGAGACCCGAGGACTCTGCTCCATTTGGATTTGAAATCTACGTATTGCGTCAGTTTGCTAATCCATTTCGTTTGTCATGGGTGCTAATACGCTTGGGCTACGAGCCATTTCCACCGGTCAAGTTTCACTCTCCGTTGGCGTTGCTCGGTTGGTCTTCGCCCATTTTGGTTTATCCGAATGTGTTCCAATATGTGTACTACACTATCCGAAATTTGGGCTTATGGCGCGTTATATCCACCGGTGTATTTGCTAGCGCGTGTGTGGATTTCATTTCACAATTATTTCATCGCGCCTCTCGCTACCGTTCTATTGTGTGGCAACGATGGTTAAACAGGTGTGAAACGACACAGACCGCTTCTTCTGAATGGAATTTGGACACTCGTACTGCTCAGCGCATTATGCCTTTTCAAATAGAAAGACAAATGGAAGAAGCTCAGCCATTTCTCTTTCTGACTATGCTATTTGAGGCCACATCGATCAAAGTCTGGGAGGTCCTAATAACCCATCCTTTCTACGGTTAGTGATGTTTTCTTAAATAATATTGCCTAAACTATTACATATACTTCATTATTGATATATGAGGTGAGCAAACTGAACTTTCATGGAGGAATTTTCTACCACTTTAGAAGAATCGCAATCGTTTGTTGATTTTTTTCGTTTTACGAGACCACATAGAAACGCGTGAAAGTTTGGTATCTTCAAACTGAAAAAGTGTGTTAGATAACGGAACTGTGAAACATGACCAGATCAGATTAATATATCTACTGAATGAAAGCGTCAAACGCCATGCAGTATGGAAAATTAGCTGAAAATCAAATCCTTTTTAGCTTGGATTAGTTGCCAGTAGGTTACTGTACAGTCCTAATACCAAGGTCTTCGGAAATATGAAAGCAGGAAGCAAAATCGGGAGAATGGTGGGAAATAAAATGCGGAAAGAGCAGTGTATGATAAATTAATGGGTTCATGGTGCTTTTGTTAGCAAGAAAAGTCATCCTATTTTCGATGGAAAATTCAAAAGGTACATCGGTAAAACATAAGTGAATTTCAGAAATAAAGTTTTGAATCAGCAATGTTCGGTGCTGTTATATTCTACCTGGACATAAGACCGATATGAGTGTCTCTTCCTTAGCTCTCCAAGATAATACAGGAGAGAACACGACTGGAAAGTAACGATCGGTGTACTGTATGATCATGACGCAATGGTCAAAATATAAGTGAATAAATTGAGGGTACGGGAACGGCGTGGTGACGCACCGATCAGACTGGGGGCTGGTTAGTGATTGTTTTTCCAGCATTTTGGTATCGTGATTGAGGTTTACCAATCGTTGACACCCGTCGACTGTAGGGTCATTTACTGATCCTGCTGCAGTTTGCTCAGTAACCGGCTACGTATATCTACATCCCTTGATGACTGAAAGTCATAAACAAATATGAGGCACTTGAGTTGGATAACTGTTAACGGTTTTAAGTCATTTTTCGTATTCCCGATTGACAATCCCCGCGTATGTCACAGTCGCCAGGTTCATTCTTCGTCAGCTGTAGACATCGGTACCTTTTGATGAAAATGGATGACCGTTCACCAAGTATCTGCGAGAGGCATTTCACTGTCTCGTCGAAGCTGCGATCACGAGCATTCTTCGGCAGAATAAAAAACGGCATGCTCTGTTGTTCCAAGTTTCCTCAACGGTACTCGAACTTTCCAAGTGTTATCATTCTCTGCCAGCTCGAAACGGAAAGTGTCTTCAGAAGGCTTGAACCAGGAAACGAATATCAGGCCAGTATCAGGTTCGTAGGAAAATTCCGTGAAACCAATAAAAATGGCATCTACCGATGCGGACGGCTTGAGGTTTTGAGCCAGGTTGAACCGGTAATTGATGCGTAAGGGTTCCGATTAGTCTCATCTGAGACTTTTCAAACTGAGCTTGTTGCTGTACTAAGATTGATTTCAGTTGTTCAGCCGGAATTGTCATTTTGTTTTGGGTTCACCCGTTGTCAGTTTTGTTCTGTCTAGAGGTACGACCGACACGAGCACCTGTTCCTTAGCTCACAACAATAACACAGGAAAGAGAACACAACTGGAGAATAACGGTCAAAGTGCATCGTATAATCACGATGCGATACGCGAAATGTGAATAAATTGGGCGTGCGGAACGGTGTGGTGACGCACCTATCAGATCGCGTCCCTGAAACTCCTATTGGTCTATCTGGCTACAGCCGTCTAATTCGTCCTGATCATCTAATCTGGAATCTCCTCGCCTTGGGCTTCGTGTGCGTGCATACGGTGTGACGCGAATCAATGCGTGGCCTGACGGGTTCTGTGATCTCCGTCCTAAATGGGGAAGTGGAGTATTTGGTTTCGTTCATGTGTGTTTCGCCACATATAAAGCATGGAAACAAACTGAAAAGCCGCAAAGTTGTTTTAATGTTATCAATCTCAACGTCAACATTTCAAATCCATTTACCGACATAAGGACCGAACCCCGGTCGCAAATGTTAGAGAAGCCATCAAAGTGATCAGTCGTGAATAGATCAGTATGGCAGTACAAGGGTGTAGTGTGATGGCGGCATGCACGAAAAATCAGAACGAGAAAGGCCCAAACGTTAGGCTTTATTCGACATACAACGCACCTATGGAAGCTGAGAAAAGGAGAGGAGATATGAGTCAGAAAAGCGATATACAAAGCGTTATGTTAAAGGGGTTGAGGCATACTGTCGAAGAAAAAGGCTGAGTAGTACTGTGGGTTCCCATTTTGTACCACATTTCTGTTACTTTTTATGGATTCCCTCATGAAGTCAAATCATCGCCATGTAGGGGGAAGTCGACTAAAAGTAAGTTAGTAGGAAGGCGTACGTTCAGTCCTTCGTCCTAGTTGGCTTCGATTTCAGCTGTCTCTAGACCATTCATATCATACTGTAGTCTTTTGTGGTTTTACATTCTAACCCGTCACGACGAGACTGCACCTTGACGTGGTGTGATGGCTTGCGCGCCTCAGTGACTCTGCGAGCTACACAGGATGGCTTCTGACAACCGTAGATCCAATCATGCCTGAAAGGTCAACGGGTAGAGGCCAGACGAAGACCAGTCTCACAAGGC